CAGGAGCCCATTACCCGGAGCTTCCATCTCAGTTGTACCCTTGAGTCAACCCTGTCCCGTATCTTTTTATTTTTAGAACTGAGATATTTGCGGGGGTTGTTTAATCTTTCCGCGCTTTCCGCCATTATTGAAATAATTTCGTGCGGCCTGCAAGTGACACAAGAGAGACGTAACACAATAGAGACGACAGCTCTCTTATGATTGGCTATTATAAATATACCAGCGAAACCGCCGTGGAAGGTGCTTCTAAAAATAGAAAGATACGGGACAGGGTTGGCTTAGAGGGTCAGTAGGGAAGATGGAAGCTCCGGGTAATGGGCTCCTGAATATTATGATTTTAGAAATTTCTCTGTTGTTCAGCTCTGAAATTATACTAAAACAATTATTCGCCTCAGGTTCGGTGAATATTGTGGAATAATCCCCTCGACTTCGTCTCGGGATTATTCGACGATATTCACCTCCCCTTCGGCGAGTAATTATTAAATATATCTATTTATATATACATATTTACTAGCGTTCTCGGTCTGGCTTTTCTAAAGAAGCTCAAGTTAGAGTGGCTAATGAGAAATTCAAAAAGATTTTCATACCCTAGGGTTAGGTTTTCGGAAGAGCGCGTAAGAATATATTGCGCAATGACCCGCCATTTGACCCCGATGATACCATGTTTTGATAACATTTAATCAAGGTAAATGTCTAGGGTTTCGATATCGTCAGGGTTTCTCTAAAAACCGTCCGTTTACTAAATTCTTTTAACTTTCTCATTCAGAATTCATTGGAACAAAATACATTATGGTTTATGCACTTTCGAAATTTTATTCGATCGTTTATTGGTACGGATAATCGAAATACTGAGTATTTAGACGGTGGAAGTTGTAAATGCGTTATCCGTCACTTCTTTGGCACGAGTTGCCGAGAATATAAATGAAACAAATAATATATCTTTTGAATTTAATTTCTTCATAACCAATAATAAGTCATTTTCACAACAGTCAAATTCACAACAGCATTTGTCAGTGTGTCAGCATTTGTCAGCATTTGTCAGTGTGTCTTCAAACCTCTCATTTTATTCCTCCATTGGAGAAAAAAAACAGACCTAGAACAGATTTGTACAGTGAAAAATATATTTATTTCTAATTGAACTTTAAATCTTCTAAAAATAAAAAAGGAATTTATCTATAAAAAGTGATAAAAAATTGAATGGAATCGCAGGTAGCGGAAGTCTCGTGAGCATCCTTTTTGACGCAAATTGGAACTGATTAATTCCTTCTTATAGAAACACGACGGCAAACAGGAAAAAATGAAATAATTCTCTACACATATTTAACTACTTCAGAGCCGTTGTACAATGCTAGGGAAACCGACCTAAACTTGTCAGGTTTTCTACAAACATGTTCAAGTGACTGCAGGTGTCACTAGCGTTCATAAATTTCTTATTTTATAATTTCTTACGCTTCATGTGTCAGCGTGCGCATTTCAGTTTCATGCGGCGGTCAGGAGATTGAATAGAGACATCAGCGGAAAATTTACTCTTAAGCTGATGTCAATGAATCCTGTAAAATCCGATTGGTAGAGTTGAAATGATTCGCAGATGAGGCTAGTTTGTAGCATCAGTCATGTCAAAGTGTACATGGAAGTTGATATGAACATACTTGGAAATATAAAGAAGACTCACGTCGACGGATGTTGTTAATTTCGTGTAAAACCCGCATGGACATCGCGCTGAAGATTATTGGTTATCCGTTCGAAGTCTTATCTCAAAGGTGAGATGGAACGACCACTTTGATTAAAAGAAAGTATCCCAGCAGAATAATAAATCTTCGATGCGACCTTCGCACATTTTAACTTCTGTTAAGTCGCATCTCATTACTCGCTAGCAAAAGCCTGTTTTCTAAGACAGATAATAACGTTTAAGACAAATATAGCTTATTTGTTGTCAAGAAAGCAAAATTAATAAAAACAACGCTCCAGAACACAATACAAAATTATTCCGTTCTGCAAACTGGCTAATATTGATCGCTCGCGGTGAATATTATAAAGAATGTTGCATGAGGGCACTAGAAACACAGCATTTCACCCACAGATAAACATCACGTAAATCCTACCTTTATCCTAGAAGCCTTCCATTTGTTTACGATGAAAAGTTTCCCTGTTAAAGCAACTTTCAAGGGGTTATTAGCAAATTAATGATACGTACACATCTACAATGCGGTTTGTGTTTGCGTTTACGGTCACTGCCAATCCTTCGCATACAATCGAGGCTTTTTCAATCGTGACCGGTACCGTGAACTGAAGCGTGAGGTATTAAATGACGTTAGGTAAGTGAGAATTATTGGTGTGTTCAAGAACCTATCACGCAATGCGTGGGCTATAATACGGGAGTAAATTGAGAGCAACTCGCACAAGGGGAGTTTTTTTTGTTTGTTTAATTGCTAAAAATAAATCTGACAGCAAGGACAAATCCGTGAAAAATGCACTGCAAAATGAATTTTAACGGAGCTTTTCCGAAAACACTTTTGGGCAAATCGTCGAGGCGTGAAAGACAACCTCATATATGACGTTACAAAAAAAGAAATCTACACTGAACAGAAAAAGGGGGTCATATAATGACAAAAAAAAAAAAATTTAGAAACGTGCGCTTCCACTTTTTTAGTAAAAAAATAAAACTAACCTCGAAAGCTCGCGTTCTTAACAGATTTTTTAAACCAAAAAGTGCTTTTATCGTTGAAATGAACTTGAACCTTAGAATACTCTTCTATTTGTCGTGGAATAAAGATGATCAAGATCAGAAACTGCTCCTTAGCTTAAAAAAAAAACAATGTTGCATCTGGGACGAATTTCGATATTTCCGGTGTCGAGCTATTCTTGTTAAATTGCTTATTTGTTGTTATTTTTTCTAGCAAGTACTACTGTATCGCACAGTCTGACGAAATCAAACTGTATCTGAGTACAGAAGGACCTGTCACTAGCACTGTTTATCGCCTCGGAGGAGGCGGGGCGGGGGGTAGGGTGGGGTGGCGGTAAGAGCATTTTGGTTATGTCAAGATACGATTTACCTGATCCCCCAAAATCCAAAAGGTTCTTTAATGTTCTTATTAACCTCCTTCATTGGCAGTTGATTAGCAGACAATTTTCTATAGTACCCCTTTCCGCTTTATACTCTTTTAGCAGGCGACTGATTCCCGCTCCGCGCTCCGTTTCCCCTGAAAACATCGTGATTCCTCCCGAAAAAAAAAATTCACTACGCTACCCTTCCCCCCTCCTCTCCCCCCCCCCGTGACAGATAATGACTGTTTCCCCTGACGGTATTTTTTAAAACAGGAAAGACTCCCAGCATCAGACTCTATTCTGACAATGTCGAATTTTATAAATGAATAAAGGCTGATAGTTTCTAAAGAAACTGTTTGGGGGTGCGTCGGTGGGGGTAACGAAATAATTTGAATATATCAACAAAGTTGAAATGGTAAATTGGCCACCGTAACGATTACAAAAGCTGACGTTTCAAGCGTTAGCCCTTCGTCGGAGCGAATAAAGGAATTGTGGGTTATGTGTGCTTTTAAAGGCAGAAAAGCATACACAACCCACTGCCTTTAAAAGCACACAAAACCCACAATTCCTCTATTCGCTCCGACGAAGGGCTAACGCTAGAAACGTCAGCTTTTGTAATCGTTACGGTGGCCAATTTACCATTTCAACTTTGTTGATATATCCGACTTTCATAAAGCTGCATGTGAGCCAAATGATGTGAAAAAAAAAAAACCAAGCTTTGATTGTTTTGCCTGTTTTGTGCAAGAGATCTCATTATTCGTGATACTTTAAATATTTTCTGAACACACCGAACCAAAAATGAATTTGCATTTATAATGAAACAGCGAAAATGTTTTTCAGTCAATTTTAGAAAAATTAATGAGTGTGGAACCTTCATGCATATGCTAACAGCTTTCAATATCGCAAAGTCGACTTAACATTTTATAAACACGAATTAAATAGTTTGATTGAAGACTGCGCGAAAATTCTGTACGAATGTAGCAAAACGCACAAGTTATTGTCTTGATACGATATGGGCCAGAAAAAGAAAATTTCCCTGTATTTTTGTTTTGGTTTTTTTTTTTTAGTGCGGCAGGCCTCTAGCAGACAGGTTAATAGACAGGCTACAGCAGATCCATCGTTTCAAAAACCAGCTGGTGTTTGACAAATAAAGCACTACAATCAAATCCAATAAAAGGAAAAGACTAGAAAATTTCCATCCCTTATTTGTTGCTTCATTAATTTTTATAACATTTACACATCTGGCTTGCGCTCTGGTTTCTTTGTCAGTTGAACAAAAAAAAAAGTCATTTCAGTGACAGAAAGGGTGAATTTGACAGTATGAAAAATATTTTTTTGGAATGGAACACGGCTGCGTATTGGATCAAAGGATTGTTTTATCAAAATACCCTTCGAATAAAACAAAATAGCTCGAAATAATAGTTTCATGGCGTATTCAAACCTCAAAAAGTTGATAATAACCCATAAAGGAACCAATATGGCAAGCGATGGCAAAGATTGCCACAGATTCCAAATGACGTAATTTGACTAAGGACAAAGTTTGCCGGAAAAAGCGTCTTGTAACTTTTTTTAAAATTGACCGGTGTTTCGAGAAACAAAGTAAAGTAGCAGATCCCAGATTGAATTCAATTATCCAAAAATAGACCATGTGATTGATCGGTTCTATTTTAGTCAGGGACGCTCGAAACAAAACTGTCGTCAATCTTGTGGTTTGACCGCAATTGAATCTTTATCTGGTGTTGGTTTCCAATCTAACGAGGTCATGATCAGGATTTTAAGATCAGATCCTTCGCGTTGAAGGAAATTATGCAGACCAAACGATTTTTACGGTGCTTTTCACAGAGCTAGCACTAAGAGAGCTTTCCAGGTTTGCCAAGACCTCGGGACCCATGTCTGCGGACACAACCTTGCGATTATATGACCAACGAACCATTTCAGGGTAGAATTGGGAACGCAGTAAGGCGATACCGCGACCTTGTCTATCCAACCAAGTTCGTTTTCATCATAACTGAGCTCACCGACCGACCTGTTTTCCCTAACCAAACTAGCTCTATAATAGGACCCTCGGAAGATCATACATTGTTCCATCTCCCAGTTATAAGATTATTTTTTCTCAGCCAAATTCCTCCAGTTCGTTTTCTCTCTCCTCTACACGTCTTTCCTTAATTTCTTTTGGCAAAATCTTCTAGGCCTAAAATTCAAGGTACCTTTCTCCACCCCGAAGTGTTCCTTTCTTCTCCTTTCCAATCTCTTGCTAATTATCTAAGGACTTATGATTTACTTATTTACCTGATTCAACCTCTTTCGCCTCGGTTGTTATGTTGAGAAGTTAACTCGATAGCATAGTAACTAGCCAAGCAAAGCCTTACACAAATACCTCGAGCTTACAGTCTGATTATGAAGCCGTTAATATCATCATTTTTTAACCCGTGAACCAGGGATAAAACGTGAATATACAGGGGTGTACAGTACGACATATAAGCAAAAATATGCGTATGGTAAAAGATATCTGCACCTCCTTTAATTAAAATTTATACATATTTCTAGATGCACCATAGGTTGTTGATTAATACAAGATTGGATGCATAGTGTAACATTTTTTAACATACCACAAACGATTAGCTATTATTTTTGGTTAGAGCTTATGTACAGCTAATTACGTAAGTCGATTATATTACCGGATAAATTTATCGCACCGGGAAGCTAGAATGTAGCAGTAGAAAAAGTAATTACGTTCGCTTCGCAAATGACTGAAAGAGTATTTTAGTTATAAAATGCAGGATTTTGTGAACTGTTTTTGAACTAAGTTTAAAATTCCTTTTCAACGATTTCTGAACATATCTATTACTTATAAAAAGTATTAGCTATCAAACAGAGCTAAATCGAGATAGTAAAAAATATAGAGACGACGAGAAGGCTAAAAACAACGAAATGTTGAAATAGACAGAATTTACATACCGTAGATCTATCTGAACGATAGATCGTTCATTTGAAATGAGGTCATATTCCGCCAGTTATAGTAACCGATGTCAATTATTCCACAGAGATAAGGAAGCGTCATTTAAATGAATTATGGCTTCATGCGCGAACCCAAGGCGCCACTATATTTCCCAAGTTATCAATTTCTGATAAGATTTCTTTTAGTAAATTCGCACCTTTGATTTCATTTACAACCTAAATTTTTCTTTTGCTACGCATTTCTTGTAGCATTCAATTCCACCTGGATTCTAAAACAACGGCGGAACGTTTGATTAAAAGCGGGAAAAAAAAAATAATTAAGCTTAAGCTTGGGAACATCTGACTTCTCAGATTTAAAACAATTTATGCAAGATATGATATATCATCAAGACAAAAGAATGAAGTTGAAGGAAGGAAAAGTCGAATGCATAAGCATAATGGAATTTGGGTTTACACTATATATCTCCCGGGTTATATACAATATCTCTCTTTCTCGACCCTGATTATAAAAAGTAATTATCACCCGCATCAAACGGAACTGTCAGAACGATTCAAAAGAATTTTACCGCGACGCAGCGGTTTGTAACCGTAAAGAAATCGTGTGCGACCGGTTTTAACTTTAATTGTGATCAATAACTTACCTAATCCTCCTTTTTCTTAGATTTATGGCAACCTAGACTTGTTAGTAGCGGACCCAAATCGGATTGTCTTCACTAAACGTTCCTTTTGAAAAATGTAAATCAGCTTGCTGTCGCAGCTGCTCAGCTTTTGCATAAATTTGAATTGACTAAGAAAAAAAAAGCATTTTTCAGTTAATCAGACCTGTTGTATTTCTTATGTGTGTATCGACAAGACTCTGGTTCACGGTAAATATTGACCTATCCTTGATAAAGTATGAATTTTTACGTATGGTACAAGAATCGCGAAAAAGAAAAAGAAAAATCAAAGAGCATTTTGAATTTTTCTCAACTTTTTCCTTCGTTTGGTGCGAAGCATAAAACATGTAGCAGCCACCTACATGCCTGGCTTAATCTCGAATATCAAATAAAAAACCTACTATTTCTTTCATGTCCACGGTCTTAAGTGTTTATGCAATACCATCTTGGAGGTCCTGTTAGGGGGGGTATAGATGCCGCCCGTCTGAATTTCAAACTTTCTCGGAAGGTTCTGATGTCGCTGTCCCAATTTCATCAACGTCGTGCTCGAAGTCGCATTTTCATTTCCCTGATGTCGCCGTTTCAACGCCATGTCGCCCGTCGGAATTTACCCTATCAGGGCCTCGTCTTGACTGGAGTTCCTTCCTATGGGACTATGATATTTGAGCCAAATAAAGTACCTATCGGCTTTTCCATATTGACTGTTTTCAGGGAAATTGTCAATTGCAATGAATATTTGTTTCTTTCGCAAGTGGCCATGTGCAACATCGTTTAGTGACACATGAATTAGTCCATATCAGCATCGCTTGTAGACATCCTGAGCCGCCCACCAAACAAATACAAATTATCTTACTAAGTTCCGTCTTGAACATTCTGTTTAATAATTAATGAACAGACAAGCACAACACTGTGTCGGGAAGTCGTTGGAAAGCCGAAGACTGCACCACAGTCATACATTGTGCACCAAAAAAATGTCCCGGATGAAAGCTCATGATGTTATTGGCGGCAGCTGGACGCAACGCTTGGGTAAGGGAGACGGTTTGATAGAGGGGAGTGTTCCATGTTTAGACTGCTTTACAAGTTTTGGCAGTAAATCCTTGACTAATTTCCAGCCGTTTTTTACATCTTGCTTAAGAACCAGCTGCGTCGTGTGCTTTTCTTTATTCAGTCCATGATGATGTGTTCTCAGTGGCTTAGTAGATCCTTCGAGCCAGAATGTTATCCAAGTACCTTTACCCTGAAAGGATAAAGAATTCCCACAAAAATCACAGGAGCCTCATAGAGCGGAGTGCCCGTGAGGTAAGTTTTTTTAAGTTGTAAAAAAATGTATCGGAATATAGTCATGAAAAGATAGAAAACCTAGAGGGCCCTTTATTTTAGTTCGAAACTTGACTTTTTGAAGCCGTGTTTTACTAACCATGTTTCCTTGTAATTGTATGTAATTATCTTGACTGAAATTATTCTTTTACCATTTCCTTGAGAAGTACTTAAACTTTGACCATTTTTTCCTTGTTCCTTGACAAATTTCCCCATGCCAGTTTTGAGCGAGGGAGATCAGTATTTTCGGCTACTTAACTGCTAATGAAATACTACAGAGAGCAAGATACATGTAATTGCCGTAAGGAAGAACTATTGCTATGAATTATAAAAACAATAGTCAGGAAATGACCCAACGGAAGTGACCAATCGAGGAGGCGTTTGTTTGCATAAATTAGGGATTCCGACAAAAGGGCCTTCTTTTGTCATTGTTTGTTACCACATCAATAGATTTTGCAAAAGGATTGGCTTATAACTACCTTTAAAAATACTTCTCCTCTCTTTTCAATTTGATAACCACCGAGAAATTCAAGAAGATTCTTGGCGTCCGGACTGATATGAATCTTTAGAGCTGAAAGTAAACAGTTTCCATATTACAGAGCAAACAGGGCAAACTGAAATAAACATTAAACTGATATACTAGAACCATCGGGTCAGGCTATTAAGGCAATCGAAATCATAACGAAAGCTGGAGAACCACCAGCGCAAGAGAGTGCAAACACGCAGCCAACAATGAATGCGAGGAGGGAGTAGGGGGTAGCAACCACCCTTAGTAAGTGTTGGGCCTTCCGGACTGAAACGCATTAGACGAAACTAAACTGAATGACCCACGTTTAGACAAACAAATCGTGGATTTTGACCTGACGGTTGTGTAGATAGTGTGGACCAGACAAAGTGAATTGTCCAGCTATTCCTATAAATTCTACCAGTAAACTTTTCTTTTCGCTGTACAATGGGACTTCGAGAGAAAAACTGTCGAAAAGGCCGGATTTTTCATTTCGTTCAGGTAACAAACCTATCACCTTGATTTCGCGAATCCGACTCAGTTTCTCGCATCCAAAGAAATAAAACGTGGAGCCCAACTAGGCCAACAAAATGTTTCTTACATGACCCGAGACAGTGTTTCCAGGATTTAATCAGCCAGTCCCAATGATGAATATACTCACCTTCACCATTGGATTCCATTCTAGAGGCAGTATTCACAGTGTCACCAAACAAACAGTAACGAGGCATAGTGTTACCAACCACGCCCGCGACAACAGGTCCTGATCAAAACAATAAATGATTCAGTCTTACAATTTTCTTCCGGTTGTACCATTAAATATTCTAATTCCTTGGTTTCATAAACTTAGATGGAGTTATTTGTGGTTGCTGTTGTTGTCAAGCTGATGATAAGCCAATCGTATAAAATACCTTGGATGGCATCTTTTTAATTTTCTTCTTTTCAATTTAAGTGAAAACCAGCAAGGGTCCTTTGGTTGGTCAGGTGGGATCATTTACTTCGCCTTTGAAAATTCGCTTGGGCAGTCAGTTTAACTTTTAAGTCGATTAATCATAACTTTGACCGCGAATCATGGGTTTCACCTGAGTTTTTAGCATTAAAGACGTTTTCTATATTTACTCCACCCAAACCAGGCTAAGAATCCCTCCCAACGTGTGCGACTCTGAATCTCTGTTTATGTAAGCAATAGAACACATTTTCCGGGCTCTATAACGTGGGAGACCACTCGGAAAGCTAGTGAATTACGAGCCGAAGTCGAGTGATTTATAAGCTTTCAATGTGTTCTTCCAACATCCCAAGTGGCTTTGTCACGTTGTAGAGCCCGGAAAAATGCGTTTTATTACTTTTATGACATAACTGGTTACATGCGGGCTCTAAACGGATAAAGCATCCGCCTGGAAACTGAATTGACCAATCGGACCATGCGTACTATGCTCATTTATGTTATAAATTGCAATAGATCTTTTAAGTTCTTAAAGCAAAGTATGTTTCAGAGGAAACCTTTATTTTATGCAAATTCAAGATTTGACGGAATTTCTCTTACCACTGTGAATTCCTATCCTGAGCTTTAACTGTTCATGAGGCCTGTGATGTATTTTAAAATCATATATCTCTTTGCGCATGTGCAGAGCCATGCTTGCTATTTCCCCGGCGTGTTGTTGTCCATTCCTGATTGGCAATCCTGACACAACCATATAAGCGTCACCAATTGTCTCCACCTGAGCAGGAATGAGAACAAAACACGAATGTAAGATTAACGTGGCTTGTTTGGAGCAGTTGAGCTCAGTATATTTCCTGCATTCATTACCATCCAAAGTATCAATATAAGATCACCAACAAAGCTGATGAGAAAAAAGATGTTTAACGTCTTTCCAACTTGAAAAACTTTAGCGAAGTTTGTCAAATTCACCCGTTTTCTACATTCTCAATCATTCTAATTTGACTAGGTGCACTTTTACCTCTCGAGTATTTTTGTTTATTTCTCCATTCTCAATCATTCTAATTTGACTAGGTGCACTTTTACCTCTCGAGTATTTTTGTTTATTTCTCCATTCTCAATCATTCTAATTTGACTAGGTGCACTTTTACCTCTCGAGTATTTTTGTTTATTTCTCCATTCTCAATCATTCTAATTTGACTAGGTGCACTTTTACCTCTCGAGTATTTTTGTTTATTTCTCCATTCTCAATCATTCTAATTTGACTAGGTGCACTTTTACCTCTCGAGTATTTTTGTTTATTTCTCCATTCTCAATCATTCTAATTTGACTAGGTGCACTTTTACCTCTCGAGTATTTTTGTTTATTTCTCCATTCTCAATCATTCTAATTTGACTAGGTGCACTTTTGCCTCTCGAGTATTTTTGTTTATTTCTCCATTCTCAATCATTCTAATTTGACTAGGTGCACTTTTGCCTCTCGAGTATTTTTGTTTATTTCCGAAGAAATGTCAGTAGATACAGCCGACTTTGAACAACTCGGTACCCCTTGTTAGCTGATAGGAAATACTAGATCATCAAGAAGCAATGAGCATCATAGAAAGAGATGCTCACTTCAAACCCACCTTGTATACGTCGTAATTACTGATGATGTCATCAAACAATGTGTACAAATCATTTAAAAGCTCCACAACCTGACAAATGAGCAAAAAAGTGACAAAATTATTCTGGAAAGTTTAAAGAAATCTGCCTCAAACATTATTTGTGTCAACGAAAAATTCAGACTGGCTTTCAAAATCTTTGGAAAGGCAATTTCATGATACGGAAGTCATCCTAAACCAACTCTGCAGTTATTCGATACACCAGTGCCTTACTATAGTCATGTAGATTAAAGTCTCGAGGGGAACCGGAGTCACCTATGTTAGTGGTTCACAATTAATTCGAACATACACCGAACGGACGAGTTAAGACAACCTAATTCTTTTCCAAATTGGCCCGCGGATCGTAAAAAATTATTTCCTTAGGTAATGGCTCCGCTATGGCTCCGATTTTAGCAGATCCGTCCATAAAAGTCCATTTCTGAAGTTTCCTGTACAACATTCTAAATATCAGTGTAATTCGTGGTCGCTGTATACCATAATGCGTGGAAAAGTACAACCATGAGCGTTTGAAACTTGCTCTTAGCGTACTGACTCAGAATATCTACATGTATGTACAGTCTCGAAAAGCATTTCTATTACCATACCTGAAAAGGCGTGCTCTCCGAAGATAATGACGTAAAACCAACGATGTCGCTAAAGAAAATCGATACTTCATCGAATTTTTCTGGCACTATGGTCTTTCCATTAACAAGGTCACGTGCAACGGGTCTGCGAATGAAAGTTGTTAAAATTTAATTTTAAGTCAACAGAGTTTATCATGGATTGTGGAGCGATTAAACTTGTCAATACTCCCCATGCGTATAGAGAGGAAACCCTTCTTCACCAACCTAAGTGTCTTTCTCGCGGACCCTAAAGCGATACTCACATTGAAGGAACACAGAGAGATGTTAAAAAGAAAAACATCGAATATTAAAAAGAAAAACATCGTAAATCGAAAATGAGCAATTTCTCTCACTCCGAAGGCCACCCATATAACCATTGCACCTCTAAATATCATTGGAAGTTTTTACAAGGGGATCACTTTTCTCGGGAGACACGGTGGCCAGCGGTTACTACTATGGCCAATTAATAGCGTCGTGTTCTTAAGACGACACTTTGAAGACCGTGAATTTTTCCATTAAGGAGTATAGGAAGGTGCTGCATAGTTTTCATGGAAATCTGACGAACTACTAGGGGCATTCAGGAGTTATAACTGAACTGATGCGCAATGATTAACAAATGGTAAACACCACAGCGTACACTATTGAGTTATGGATGCACGCGGGAGGTTGCTAAGCACGAAAGAAGCGTAAGAGTCGCTCGAGGCGATAGCCGAGAGCGACTCTAGCTTCTTGAGTGCTTAGCAAACCTCCCAAGTGCATCCATAACTCAATAGTGTACGCTGTGGTGTTTACCATTTGTTTTATAACATAACATTGATACATTGTAGCTAAAGAGTTCCCTTTTATTTAACAAATCTTACGCGACCAGAAAAAACAAGCGCGCGCGGAAAAATAGTCTTTGCATTTGCTCACGTCAGCAGCGTACACCCATGGGCAAATGGGGGACGCTAAATTGACCAATCAGAGCGCGCGCTTTACTTTGGTTATGTTATAATGTTAGTTAGTAGATACTTACGGAGGAAGCATTCGGTGCAAGAGATTCTCTGTTTTGCGTTTCTCATCGGCTAGCTGTGATGTTCTTTCCTCCACTAAACTTTCCAAGTTGTTTGCATATTTTTCCAACATGTTTACCATGTTATCCATTATGTTTGTTTGCCTAAAACAGAACAGCAGTGCACATTTCAATTTTCATATTCGGCATTAGTCCTTATTGGCAAATTTAAAATAGGACAACGTGAGGTCGGGGCTAAAATCAACCCACCCCGTATTGCTTATTGTAACAGAGTTGGAAAAATGTTTACGCCAGAGCCAAAAGTAACCTTTACGCATTTTCTCCGCAGCTCTAAAGGCTGTCACACAACGTTTCCCCAAAAGAGGTCTTGCGTCACGTCCCAAAACACGCCTACAAAGAAGCGACACTAGCATTTTCCACGCTCGACGCACATGTGGGCTCTTAAAAAACTACAGACTTCAGACTTTAGACTTCACAAAGAGTAAGTAGTACCTAGCCTCTGATCGCAATTGTAACGAGGCCAAGGGAAAAGTAAATTCTGCGATACTAGCTGAAGGTCGAACATACCTTCCAACAGACATTTTTCGAATTTGTCTCTTCAAATCTTCAAACTCAGGTCTGGCTTCGGGTTGTTCGTTCCAACATTTTTCCGTCATTTGTACTAGGCCAGGGACTTCGCATTCTTTCCCAATGTTACCTAGCTTCGGACGAAAAGGTGGGTTCTCTCCCATCGTGACTCTCTGGATAATTTCTATGAATCATGAATCAGAAAACATAATACTGACAAGTTAATAAAAGTAGCTGTCAGTTGGGCTCATTCATTCTTCGTTTGATACTTTTCGCAATGCTTAATGATACTTTATTGATAGCTCAGCAATGCGAGTTTCTATCGCTAACGTATCAATTAGTGTCAATTTGAAATAAGCAAGACAATACCAGTAGCCTATACAAGACTATTGGTTTCTTGAGATGAGGGAAAACCGAAAGGGTCCTGGGAAGAAGTGATGACCGTCTCTCCAGTTCTTCAACATTTCGTTCGTTCCCCTTATCTCTCGTCCCTACAAAATAGGTTCGCGCAAGAGGCTACGCAATGTAAATACCATCATCCATCTTTTCAGAAATCATGTACTCTTTCACTTATTTCAGCAAGTATTTTCAGTCGTCCGAGAGTAATTTCACAAATCTCAAGACTCTTGAAAACTAAAATCCCCATAAACTAGTATGCCGGGTTTTTCTGCCTTTCGTGGGAAAATAGAGAACACGGGGACGAAAGCTTTCTTGATCTTAAAAATTATCATTACAAAGCAAAATTTGAGAAGAGAAGTGTATTAAGAGGACGAAGTTATTCAAACAAGTCAAGTGTGGAATACCTTTTGGCTCAGTGTGATAGTAAGACATGTCAAAAGGCCCTGAACGAGTCAGTAGCTCCTGACAAATGATAGCGAAGCTGTACACATCTCCTTTCTGAGTGCCTTTACCGTGTTGACCTTCTTCCATGCGCAGAAGTTCAGGCGCGGTCCATATCATACCTAGAGAAGCAACAGTAAGTTGGCCTGATTTGAATCTACTGACAATGGCTTATCTTGTTTGTTTCGCCATCGAAAACTCGAGGTGGAAAGGTCTTAGTTCGAAGCATGGCAGGAACGATGTCTTGTGTACTAGGGCAAAGACAATTTACTCTCACAGCGCACCTAGTAGAGTAAATTTACGAGTACATGCATGGGTCTACTTTGGAGAGGTTGAGTCACCATCGTCTTGCCCAAGAGAATAACTTCTGACGTTAAAAGGTTGTGCCAGATGCACGGGTTAGATTCATAACCCTTCAAGAACTGGATCCAGAATATATTTCCCACTAACATGATATTAATTCGGTATTATCTAAGTGTTAGTTATCAGCCGCGCAGAGGCGACAAATGCTAAATGAGGGAACGCAGGCATGAGTTAAATTTCTTTCCTAGACGTTTACCCCTTTAAAAGCTGAAACAGAAACAATATACGTACGGTAGAACTTGGCATAATCTCCTTCATCTCTTTCAGCTTGATTTGCTTTGAACTTTGTGAGCCCATAATCGGTAATCTTCAGGACCCAGCGGCTATCTACCACACAGTTTGACGATTTCAGGCCCCCGTGTGATTTGATGTCTGTAGTGTGCAAATAGGCCATGCCCTGGGACGAGAATCAGGTTGTTCATAGGACGGCATCTCCATAAAATATTTTACAGATTTAACGAAGTTGCTTAATGGTGGGTATACCTTTAATTATTCAGCTTTTTTGGCCATTTATATCTTAAAAATATGTGTTAGTTTCTAACCAGAATGAGATGGAGTTTTTCCACCCTCGCAATGTTTAAACTTTGCTGCAACATTCTTTCTACCTCACAAAAACCTACTCAAAATATCACAGCAGAACTGGTAACCACTGACCAGCCATAATTACCTTCACAATGTCTGTCACCAATGACGTCACAAACATTGTGTCCAGTTTCACGTCTTCATTTTCAAGAATGTCCTAAAAGAAGTACACAGCTATTAAAACTTGCTTTTCAGTATATAAAACGGTTATCAGGGTCTCTGTTTCAGTCCAAAAGTTGTTTTACTAATAAATAACGTCTGTAAGCTCTCAGTGGAGAGCTTCTAATTCGAGCTCCAGCCGCGCCATTCTGTTCGAAGGGTTTTGGGCAAGATTTGAAGTTTAACAGTTCTTCCCAGGATAGGGTCAGGATACTTGTAACCTGCAATAGTTGAGCGTCCCTCCCCCTCCCCCCTGGAGTAGTTTTCATCGTTGTTGCTTCTCTCTGGAAACCTGGATAATCACCAGAAAGAGTTGAAAACTAGACTTCGTTAAACCGCTCTTGCGTTTTACCTGTAAACTTCCCTTTGGTCCGTACTGGAACAAGATGCAGATGTTGGAAGTCTCTACGCATGCGCCCATGAACTGTGCCAAGTTGTCATGATGGACATCACGCATCTGCAATATGATTAGTTTGTTACAAAATTAATCTACCAAATGACTCAAAATCAACTCGACAGTTACGTCTCTCCTAAGAACAACCGATTTTGTCAGACTAGGTGAGGGAGTCAGAAACTGAGGCTACGTACAAACCCTAAAAAATAAACTTATTGTCTGATTCAGTCTAGGAATGACATTATTTTACATTTATTACATTTATTACATTTATTTGGTAGGAGACGTTAATTTCCCACGCACGAGATTACTGTGTGATGGATGTCCTCCCTGTGAGAACGCACCCTGTCTAAAGATTATTATCTATCTATTTGCTTAGCTTGTGATTGGCCTTCAGTGAAACCTTGTACCATCTCCACTTCGACTTCTCCGATAGAACATAGTTGATACTTGAACTATGGATAAAACACTAAAAAGCAATCGCCAAAAACCATCGCTGTCTCAGATGGTTAAAAAGCCGACCAGAGGAGAAAATATCTTGGATGTTTTTATAACCAATACTCCTTATCTGTGGGAGATGGTCAAGGTCTTTGAAAGTGCTATTAGGTCAGACCACAACATGGTTATTGCATGTCCACGAACATCTGCTGAGGCTAAGCGTAGCAGCATACAGTTTAGAGATGTTAGAGAACACAGGAAAATTCATATGGCCTAACTGCTTGAAATTCATGATTCGTAGGAGGTTTTTTCTCTTACTGACTGCGAATTGAAGTATGATGGCTTATCTAATACCCTTTGGACCATGTTTAACGAGTGCTTCCCGCTGACTTCTGTTCGTATATCCTCAAGGGATCCTCCTTTCATTTCACCATTAGTTAAACATCTTTTGAAATTTAGGAACAGGTTGCAAAAGAGATCTAAACCGCTCCCTGTTGGCCTTGAGGACAGAATCAACCATCTTATTAGGGAAATTCAACGACAAGCTGTCAAGCAGGATTCTTGTATGTCAGGTAGGGGTTCTCGTGCTTGGTGGTCCACTGTCAATACCATTACTGGAAGAGACACTCAGCCCCAGTTGATCAGCTCAGTTATTCATCCAGACATCATTAATAAATATTTTTGTAGTATAAACTCTGATCCTGAATATATAGCCCCTGCACCAAATGATGTTCCTGATGACATGATGCGAGGATACCTACAATACCTCTTCACCTTGTCACACACTTTCTTTCTAAGCTTAAGAGGACTGCTTGTGGCCCGGATGAGCTCCCATACTGGCTTTTTAGAGAATTNAGATTTATTATACGACTGAAGTTCAAAGGGATACAAGTGCGGTATCATTCGGGACCATTCGGGACAGTGCCCGGTCCAATACTTACAGAATATTGGACCGGCAATAGAGCATTTTGATTGGTTTATTTTAGTTATTGGCCCTCTGACTGTCCGAGTTGTGTAATAATTCTCTGTAATACTAACCTGCTTGAGCTCCATTCTTATCTCTCTATTCAGTTCCACGTTTTTCTTGTCGATTCTCTTTACAGCAATTGTATTTCCCTTGGTAGTGAAAAATACTTTGTCAAGTTGTTTGTCGTTCTGCCCTTATACACTTTTCAACAATTTGAAACCACCAATCTACAGAATAGTAACTCACCCTCCATGAGCCGACAAGTGTAAACAGCTGGCGTTGATTGAGGTTATCAAAGCTCTCAGCGGAAACCAAGCTAACCTAGAAATATGACGGGGGCAACGAAACGAGTCAGTCAGACAAATTGCGAGATTATTTGACCGATCAACTGACGGGCTTACAAACTGGCTTGACACTGACTATCAGATTGACCGATTGACTGATTTACAGACTGACTGATTGAATGATTGAATGATTAACTGATTAACGGATTGATTGACGGATTGACATACTGACTGATTGACAGACTGACATACTAATTTATCGACCGTAGGATCGACCGACCAACCGAACTGTTCGTGATCGCCTGATTGGTCTACCGACCGATAAACCACCTTACCTGGCTGCGTAGAGACCCTACTTGTCTCGTCCTTAGAGAAATTTCGCTGTAGCTCACTCGCCAAGAATTGCTTGCGAGTTCTTTCTCGAGTTTCTGTTTTCTGAAAAGCAAATACTTTTCAAATCAAAACGGTGTCATTCATTTTTATTACTGACAGCTTTAAAAGACTAAGTATCAGTGATATTATAAAGATTTAAGCGACGTAAAGGTCATATTCATTCACGTACAGACTGATAATAAATAAACAATTAAAAAGACTTCAGGTTACCTGTAAATGATGGCCCCAGCAATCAGAATGACTACCACTATGACACCAAGACAAATGGATACGATTTCCGCCACCGCTGTAATTAAGATAGTTCAAATTCAATTCCTTATGAACAATCTAAAACTCACTGCTCGTGAAATATCCGCCCATTTCAAATGTAATAAAGTATATGGTTGAACTCTTTACCACTCTCATTTATTTCTGACTTACTCTTAAACCATTGGTGTGTACTTATCCAAAGCGAACATTTTATTTTTAGGTTCTTTCAATTTAGGAGACATTTTCAGTTTTCTGTATGTAACTTACAAAGCTTTCTTTCCTCCTCCTCCTCGATGCACTTTTCATTTTCAAAACCACATTTGGGAGCATCAGTAGGAGGTTTGCCATTGATCCACGAAATGGTCGCGTTCGGATACAGATAGAAAGAGATGGTGTTGTTTTCATCATCTCCCAGTTTAAACATCCCTCTGTTTTCAAACCTAGGTCCCTCTAAATAGGAAAGAAACAGCAACACCATAAGTTACAATCAGGTAAAGACAAAAACTCCTCCTGATTCAAGATAATTTTGTCAAATACTTAAGCTGCAGCAAATGACCCAGCAGCTTTACTTCAGATTCTTATTTATGTCTTTGGACTTCGGTTGATAGAAAATGATTCAAAGAATTAAAGCTAACACTCACTCCTTTAGTAGGAAGGTCTAGAGTGAAATTCTTCTTTCGTTTTCTTCTTTGCTTTGTGCTAGAAACATATATCTTAAGGTGGACAATTCTATATGATTATAATATTTAGGTAAAATTGCTCTACTTTTCTTTCAACGATCCACGAGAGAGCTCGAAATAGTTGATTAGCTTGAACGTTCTGGCTTTCCCTAGCTGAATAGAAGGAATAAAACCATTTGGACATATTTCGCTGGCCAAGGAGGCTAAGAGCTCTAGGTGTAAGAGGGTGTATCATACTTGTGTCTTCATAGAAGTCCATTACTGTGAGGTTGTGTTGTACGTCTCCATTTTTGTCGAGAAAAATATCATAGCCAAGAATGCCTAGAAGGAAAACAATTCTGAGCATGAACTTGTGTTTCCGTATGTAAATGATAAGGATTTCGTAACGCTAGATTGGATTGGTCAAAATTGGTAGACCAAGGTTAACTTGTTTTAAAGAAATATAATCGAGAAATGCACAAACGCTGAGGATTGTAAGTTTATGGTTTAAAGAGATCTTATGATCATAAATGTTTCATGGTCAAAACGTTGCATGTAGGGCCCTTTGTTTGTCGTAATTTTCGTCGTCTGAGAATAAGTTGGTGGGTACTGTAGTATCGTATCAGCTATTGTACAGTATTGTCGCCGCCTAAGAATACAGTGTTAGCTACTGCAGTTGTCCTTGTTGCAATTTTTGTCGTTAGGGTCTCGTCATTGTATCCGTTGTCCTCGTAATCGTTGTCGCCTGAGTCGTCGATGTTGTATCCGTCGTCGTCATTCAGTTATACTATGAACTGATGTCGTTGTATCTGTCTTCGTGGCAATCGCTGTCACTCGAATCTTTGTCGATGTAGTGGTCGTCTTCGTCGTTAAAGTCGTCGTAAAGTTCGCCGAGTTAGACGTCACATTCATAAATCAAGCAGCTAGCTGTAGGAAGGCTCAACGTAGCCCGACCAATTAAAGATGGTTGTGTTGTATGGAAGTCCAAAACAAATCGAGTCATTAGGGATTGGTCCTACGTACTGGAATATGGTTTTCCATAGAGATTTTTCAACACTGTTCTTCCATCAGTAGCGTTCTTTCCTTCCGAAATTGTCCTATTTACTCCAATAGCATACAGGTAAGTCGCGTCGTAAAGGTAAGCTGTCTCTATGGGAGCCTGAAAGATGGAAAAGAACAAATAGGTTTTGGACGTGTCACTTTAAAAGTCGTTTTTCCGCTTTACTAAAGAGTTCTCTATGGTTTACTGATCTGGCCTGAGAAGCTGGAGATCGAGTTTTCGATCATTGGATATTAAGTATAAAAAGCCATAATTCTTTGACTGTCAAGCACAGCCAGTCCACAGAGTACTGTGATAGATGAAAAAAAAAAAGGTTTAATTCACGCCCAGGGATGGATCCAAGAATTTTTGACGGGGGGGAATACAAAATTTCACGTTGAAACACAAATGTTTTCACACTAAGGCTTAAATAAACCACAAAATATTATAAGACGAGCAAATGTTGAATACTTGACATTGTGTGGTTATATGCCATCCTATCATGGCAAGAATTTTGGTGTTAGACAAGTGATAAAAAACACACATGTGGGAAGGGGGGTAGAGACCCACTTGACCTTCCCCCGGTTTCTCCTCTGGAACCGTACATCTGCTGCGGACTGCTTAACTGACTTTTTTTCCCAATTGGTAGAGCGCTGTATGATGTTTTTACTTAGAGAAGGAAAACAAGCAAGCAAACAAACAGACGAACAATCTTTTCGAATGATTGTAGTAAAAGCTAACCAAAATAACGACAGGAAATACCTTGAAGATCCAAAGAATACTTAAAGTGAAAAAAGCAACCTGATTTAGTCGAGGAAAAAACGGATGACAAATTGCAAGTAAATTTCAATAGCTCCTGCAGCCATTTTTGAAATTCTAACTAAGAGTAGAAATTCATTTTTTAATCGAAGTCTTCCTTGGCGTTGCCGTCCTGATTGCGTTAGGTCCCTATTCATATAAAATCTGAATTTCAAGAATACTAATATAACGAACCGTTCTGTTAAATTTTGGAAAACTGTAATTTCCTACAACGAGTTGATACCCCTCGTAAGCGTCACTACAAAATGGCGGATCAGACATCCTGCGTTTCATTTCAACTGCAAAATTCTCATACTTCCCGATCCCAAGAGTGTTAAAAACCATGAATAACATCGATTTATACGCGTCGTAAAACTCCTTTTTCTCTTGCTCAGAAAGATACTTAGTCCTCGTTGAATTGTGTTTGCCTTCAAACAAAAGCGTTGGATCTGCTGCATATCTTCCAACCAGAACAGGATCGAGTTCAAAAGCAATGAAGGCGTAATCCCCATTGTTCATTTCCAGTTTAGAGGCATAGTACATTGCCTCTCTTACAAGACTTTGTTCCATGGCAAGTATAATGACTGAAAAACGCAAAACAAAAATCTTCAAAAGTGAACCAAACCAAAAAAAAGCATTCATAAGATCTAAGAAAGGGCCTGCTTAAAAGTTAGAGGCGGACCCCTTTCTACCCTTAACTCTTTCACTCCCAAAATCTGATTATTAATTCTCCCCTCTTGCTGCTACAGGATCCCTTATAAATTGATTGCGAGAATTTGGTGAAAGATCAAGATAACAGCTTCTACCGAATAAGTTTGAGTATTCTCATTATCTGTTTGCTGGATAATGTAAGGATATAATCGGGAGAAGTTGCATGTTGATCACTTCTGGGATTTAAAGGGCTAAAGCGACCTGAAGCGACCAACAGTCTTGTTTCTCCTTCCTTGGTTAAATACCAGTCCATCGCATCATTTCGTCAGATTTCACAAGACAGTTCTCATACTCTCCTGGGTGGAGAGAGGCGCTTAGAGAGTTGAGTCATGATCATATCCCAAAACGCAACACAAAGACTCAGCTAGGGCTCGAACACGGACCATATGATCTGGAAACCACAGCGCTAAATACAGATTCCTCTTTCTGATAACTACAGACTATGTACTTATTGACTGATTGGGAGGGCTGGACGGGAAAAGATTTGGCTCGAAGTCGTGACGTATGGACCGAGTGCAGCGAGGTCCGTGCCTCATGACCGAGAGCCAAATATTTTCATGTCCGGCCCGACCAAACTCAGCCAAGCGTTTTATCATATGACCACTAAGTGTTGAAAATTTCAACCTACATAGCACGCGATAAACGGACACACGCAGGCACACAAGCACAAAAAAATTCTCCTTTATTTTTTCACGTCAGAACAAGAAACTCCCAATTCCTTGAAAAACGCGCTTTTTTCTTATTTCTGTTTTCCTTTTCGTTTTTGAAACAAAGCGACGTGAGAGTAGCAGGACCGGACAGCTTTTTCCGGACCGCGGGCTCACGTCTACCCGTCCGGCCCTGCGCGCGTCAGCTTTCACTATGGTTTTCTACGGGACGGACGGGTCATATGATAGAATCCATTATTCCGTCCCGTTGCTAGACTAAACTACTGAAGCTCATTTCATGATCTAAACTGGACCACGTTACACGGGTGTGCTCTATTAAATTAGTTATACTCTTCGCCGCCGTCCATTTCACGGTATTTTGCTTTGAGTCATTTGAACGCTTCAAAATCATCTGCGCCTCGATCTTCGCGTTCTTACACAAACCAGTTATTAAAAACTTGAGCTTGCGTAAGCGAAATGTAAGATTGATATCATACTTACTTCTGGCTTTGTTTTTACTTTGCCTTAAGATTTCCTTGAATTGTTCCCCATGTTCTTTAACTAAGTACCTACGAGGATGCGATACCCTTCTGTGTATTGTGACAGTTTTTCCAGCTGAAACCAAAAACGATTCTAAGAAATCTGCTCTTCGTTTCCAGTCGCGATCCTCCTTGCTGATTATTCCAACCAAGTTCCAGTCAAAATAATCCATAATCGCCAACACCGACGGACCGATACTATTATCGCCGAAGATGGTTCGTGCAAAGGTCGGATAGAGCTGTTTATCGGAAACCGCGTTTGATCTACACAGCTTGAAAAGGAAGATTAAAAAAAGTAAAGTGCAGGCTGCAGGTTTAAATTTTTTCCGTATTTTGTAGATGGCCTTTCATTTGAAAATTAAGTTCCCGCTGTCAACATTCTGCGGCAAAACCAAAATTTTCCCAGACCAAAAGGCCGTTTACACGGCAGAAAAATCGGGTACGGACTTGTCAAAAAAATAGTACGTATCGCATAATTTTAGCCGTTTACACGGATGATGTTTTACCACGGGTCGGACAAAAAGAGGCATAAGGACCAAGTTAGCAAGGTTGCGTTTACACCGCAGTTTGTGGGGGACCGGACCAATTTCTTGCATGGGACTACAGTATTTGGTACAGCTGTGTGCTGTTATCGAACATGCGTACCGTATTTACTCGAATAAGCGCCGCGGCGCTTATTTAA